AATGAGCCAAGCAATGAGGACCAAAGAAAAGCAACACTTGTATGATTGTCAAAATCATAATTTTACTCGTAGAATCATAAGATTTTATAATTTTGGGTATTTTAATTGAGTTAATTAGGTTAAAAATCAAAATTTCATAAACTCGAGGTAAGATTATAGTAAAATTATGGTAAAATCATAAAATTGAATAAAAGGTTGGCAATTAATCCTTTGTAGCGCAGGTGGAGTCGCAGGTCTTTACCCAAATAAAGTCCGTAGACCATGGTTTTCGAATCTTCCCCATGTAATTTGGTTTATTCTGGTTGTCAAGGAAAAAAAAGTTTAAGATTTTATTATTTTTTGATAGTACACTAATAATTTTTTATGAAATATATTTTATTTATCAAAATTATTAAAATTTGAAACTGTTTAATGATTATAAAAGGAAAAAATATTCAATAAAACTTGAAATAATTAATTAGTGATTAATATTTTTAGATAAATTTTTCATTTTAAATATTTAATGTTAAACTTTAGTAATATTTAATTTTTTAATTAATTTAATCAACTCTCAATTTTATCAATTTAATCTTATGATTCTAATTTTACCTTACTAAAACAATTTACCTAAATTTTCCATTTTGATAACCTTACTCCACGAGTTTTCATAATGACGGCAAATGCAAAACCACAAGGAGGACTGCCATTCAGTTGCTTAAATTTCAAAATCCAACCCATCTAGGAACACGATTTTCTTCTTTCATGATCAATGACACCGAAGACTGATTTTAGCAGACTACATCAATCACGGCAGAGGAAATTGATATTGATTAGCCAAACCACTACCAAAAAACAAAAGCAAAAAGACCCAAAAGCCATGTTCCAAGAGAGAAAGGGAGAAACAAAGCATAGAGGGCAAAACAGAGAAAACAATCTCTGTGAACAACGGACAAAGTACTTTGGCAACAAAATGAGCAAAAAGCCATTACTTACATATGAAAATGAGAGGGAAACATTGTAGGGCAAAACAGGCAAAAGGGAAGTTAGAATAGCAACCGTGAGAAGGGGCCTTTCCACCCATTAACCATTTTGATTTTGCAAGTTTCTCTCCCTTTAACTGTGAAAGGGGAGTTAGTATGCCATGTTTCTCCTCTTCTGGTACAGACGCATAGATTTCTCATCAGCCATTGCTTATATACATACATACATATATATATATATATATATATGTGTATTATGAATTAATGAACCTATAAACATCTATGACCGACTAAAGAAAAGGGATAAAGCATTCGAAATAGATTAAAAAGCCACCTCATGGCTTCCTTGAGTCAAACCCCTTCAAAAAATTCACACGAATTCTTCATAAAACCTTATATTGGCACAATGACTATTGATGTGAAAAATCTGAAATGTGATATTTATTTACTACTTATGCGACCTAAAAGATCCAAAGAATGGATCCCAAACAAAATCTAATTAATCCCATTTAAGTTTTAAAAATTCCATTATATATCAGCATGAATCAACAGAGCCTATAGCAATCAGACTACAGAAAGAACAAATAGAAAGTAAGAATAAAAATAAAAGAGAAAACCTTGATTGGCAGACGTGGGTGTCATCAAATTTGTCATTTTTTCAACCTAAAAACCAAAATGGAAGGAAATTGATTACCCACGAAATTAAAAGGAAAATGTTAACAAATTTAGAGCATGAAAATAAAAAGATGAAAAAATTCAAGAAAAGAAAAACATGATAATCATTTATCACCCTCTGTCAACCAAAAATAGAAAAAAAGAGAAAGTTGACAAAAAGGAACATCATTAAAATGACTAAAGAGGAAAAAAAAAATTTTTTTAAGTAAAAAAAATTGAACACTGATCTGCATTTATGAACCCATATTTTCAAATAGTTATGAAACACATGATGGAAGTATTGATTAAAAATATCAAAACACCAGAATTAGTAAAGTATTGATATAAAATTTAAACTGATTTTTAAATATTCATAATACCAACGACACTACTTGTGATCAATCAATGTGGACTGATGAATTGGAATGGGATCTGGAGATGGGTGTTGATTTTTAAATCATAGCTTTAGAAGCATCAAAGTATGAAATCTTCACCTTAAACTCCATTTCAAGGAATTCTGTCGCTATAGGAGGGCAGTAGCATCAATCCATATGATGTCTAGGACAGAGAAAAAATAATTGAAATATAATCTCACCCAACAGAGCAAAGAAAAGAATCTAATCTCAACCAATAATTATCAACAGAGCAATGAAAAGAACCCTTTTCAGATCCTCAATTGATCCATAAGGAGACATTTCAACCCGAAAGGCTTAGTCTTGATCAAGATTTAAATAAATAAAATAAAATAAAAAGAAACAAAATAAAGAAATAAAAATCACTTTTGAGAAATCTAAACTTTTAGCACTAAAATAGGACCCAAGTATAGCAACCCATTCCTCTGTTCAGGTAAACACGATAACCAAAGTGAACAACATAGAGAAGAATAACTTACCATCAAAATATAGAGTCAAGCAAAAGATGAGGTTTGCAAAATAACATTAGAACCAACCAAAGAATCTGAGGAAAAAAAAAATTAATGAAGAAATTAAAAGGGCTAAATTCAGAAAAAGAAACAGAGTCGTGCCAGAAAGTTTTGTGTTAAAACTTCAACATCTGGAAAATGCCAAAAAGAAGGTATCTGCTTTTAAATAGGTAGGCACCTGACTCAAAATCAAGGGAGACTTCATTTCCTCTCCCTGTAACCCCCTGACATCCTTAACTCCCCCCTTTTAGGACTCTAACATCAAGTACACTAAATTAAAGGTCAGATCCGAATCAGACTGGCTAAAAATTAATCTACCAAAATGATTTACAAAAAGGAGACATAAAGACATGAATCTAATGAAAAAATAAACAAAGGAGATCTGAAAGAGAAAGATATTCTCGGAGCTAAAACGCAACGGTGGCGGCCACAACGCAGCACAAGGCTGCAGACTTGATATCAGCGGACAGGGGGTAAAGTACTCCCCCGCTGCTCAACCACGTACACCTCCCACCTCCCTCAATTTTTTCCTTTGCGCACACAACCGGACGGTCTCATCGAAACCGGCCCGATTGGACACCAGATCTTCCTTTCCGCCATTTCATCTGTCGTCTGTTCCTCTTCGTTCCTCTCCTACTCGATCCATGGGCAAATCCGCATAACCGGCCGATTGTTCCCCTCCTTCAGTTGTTCCACCTTCTCCCCCACCCACTCTTTCTTTCCTCGCTGGTGGCCGCTCGACTCGTCCCAGATCTGTCAACTCCCTCCTCCCACAACCGATTAGCATCCCAACAAATATCTACCGAGAAGATTAGAGAGAAACAGAAGGGAACAAAAGGAGAGTATAAAAGAGTAGACGAGCCACAGGCTACCGGGACCTATAACACCATATATATATATATATATATATATGGAATTTTTTGACCTGTGACTTAAGTTTTATTAAATACAAAATTTTTAATTAATTTTATATAAAATTTTATATCAAATTTAATTAAAATATAATATAATATTTATATTTAAAATTTATTAAAAAAATATAAATTTAATATAAAATTTTATATAAAATTAATTATAAATTTTTTAATTAATAAATTTTAATTAATACCTTAAAAAGACAAGGTAAATAAACCCTATATATATATATATATATATGTATACATTAAATATGTATTTTAAAAAAGAGGACACTATCTATCATTGCTGAGCACAAACAGGGCAGAAGGGTAAATGGGCGCACCTGTACAGGGACCATAGCATTACATTTATTATTATTGGAAAACCACAGTCCACAACAGCAAGACATGAAGGAAAAAAAAAAGAACAAACAAGCATACAAACAAACAAAAGCAACTACCAGAAAACAGGCTCATTCAGCTTTCTCAAGGAGCATGATCATCACCGGTCTGCAACTTAGTTAACCCTCTCAAAGTGGATCACGTAGAGTGGAGAGATGAGTTTTCCCATCAACATCACCTCATTGCCCTCCTCCTTGTACACAGTAATTCGATCCCCAGGTTGCAAACCATGCTCTTGGAAGAAGCGTCTTAGGCCAGCAATTGTTTGCTTCGGACGGAGCCCCCTCATCCTTCTGTTGTACCTAAGGTGATAAATGCGGCGCCCGTGCATATCTCTAGCCAGAAACGGTCTTGAACCACGATCTGGTGGAATCCTGGGCATTTCTTCAACAAAGTGCTGGTTGGAGGCACTGACCCTGCCTGAGGCAATCCCATAACGAGTAACAGCTCTTGTTGGGAGAACCACCTTCAAATTTTCCATTCGAAAATCTGCACTAGTGAAGAATTTGCTGAAAGGTTAAGGAGAATGAAGTGGTGTGACAACTCAATTGGGTCAATTTATAGGCGGATGAAGGAAAACAGAAATTCTCACATATGAGGTCTTATACATGAGAGAGCCCTTTTTATACATAAATCTTGATTAAAACTTAATACATAAATTTGAGCACTTGATTCGTACATCAAATTAAATAAAGAGCTCAGATTTATGTATAAGTCTTAATCAAGACTTATATATAAATTAAGACTTATAGTTATGTATAAAAGCTTTAGGGTCTACAGGGATCCTGTAGGCCCTGTCCGCATTGGCCCTAAAGCTTTTATTCCGTGTAGGCCCTGTCCGCATTGGCCCTAAAGCTATGTAGGCCCTGTCCGCATTGGCCCTAAAGCTATGTAGGCCCTGTCCGCATTGGCCCTAAAGCTATGTAGGCCCTGTCCAAATTGGCCCTAAAGCTATGTAGGCCCTGTCCGCATTGGCCCTAAAGCTATGTAGGCCCTGTCC